CTTCTTCACACTCTGATCTCTTGATGTGAAGAGCTGTACCATCCGGGTGGCCTGCATTCTCTTGTAGAGGGTCACCAGAGAGGGAAGTGCAAGACCACCTCTGTTTGCAGGGAGGAAGAGAATGGAGGTGTTCGAGGATGAGGCTAAGCCTGACAACTTCTGGAGGGCCCTGGTTGCCATTGGCTGTAGCTCACGCTCAAGCCAGGAAATGGGGAATTCCTCAATCATCAGTGGCCAGGAAAGCCTGGGGCAGACTCCAAATCTAAAAAGCCGAAGCTTCTGCTGGCGAGTGAGGGAAGCGGTGTCAATGGCTTCAATCATCCTCTGGAGGTTTCCCTGGATCAACACTCTAGCAGACTCGTTGTGTTCCCCGTCTTTATAGGTAAGTCATCCTATGTCGTTCATTGTCATGTGTGAGTAAAATGCTTTTTGTACACTAGCTATATAGAGGCCATTACCGATGTTGTAACTGGGCCCATTATATTTTGCTAATACTACTGGGCTCCCGTGTGTACTGCCTGATTGTGAAGTGCAAGACGTTACAACGGATAAATCGGAGTTGAGAACAAAGCCACAAGTAAAGGGTTTTATCTACAGCCAATCTTTAGCAGCTATAATGTATTTGTGTCATAATGTATATGCGATCCGGGCTCTGTGCATTACTCTGGGTTGTATTATTAGCTTCCTCCTGAGTATTTGGCATGCTATCCATACTATAATCACAGAACTACTACACATGTTTGCTACCAAATAAACACCAAACTGAAAATCACTGGAGTAGCATAATACCATGTGTGTGATTCCTGTGTAAACACCAGTGCTGTGATACTACTAAAAGCGGTGTGGGAGTGTGGGAACGTCTACTACGGTAATGCACCAGAACGGGAAATAGACTACTTTTTAGGATTGTTTTCGTGACAAACCAACCCACCTGCGCAGACCGACTTGTTTTTCCTTGCCATGTTTGGGACCTTTGAACAAGTTTCACACAGAGGGTATAAAACAGCCTGCTGAAACTAAGTTGCAACTTGAATTCTTTGAAGTTTCAGTATTCTCTACTCAAGCTATAAAGCGTTGAAATCCCAAGCATGAATTGGCTGCCTCTGTTACTCTTCCTTCACGTCTCCAACATAGCAGCACCTCTGGTGTGTGGAGCATCTGGCTACTTTGTGAGGCCAACTCAACCGGCCAACAGCTCTTGTCCCGGCCAGCCATGTCTCACTCTATCTCAGTATATCAAGGCCAGTGATCAGTATTTCAAGTCCAACAACAACTCTGTATTTTGGCTACTGAGTGGCACTCACGATATATCGTCACCAGTCCTCATTACTAATGCATTTAATGTGACTATTAGGAGCTATCCTATTAAACACCATAGCTGCAACCCACTTATTGTTTTCAATTCCACAAAACTGTGTGAGTGCCCGCAAGGTGGTGTGTGTCAGGAGTGTTCTACCATGCAGTTCTACAACACAAGTGAAGCTACAGTTCAAGGAATTCAAATCATTGCGGTCAAATCCAATACCACCTCGTCAATAAGTGGAATTAGCTTCTACGGGAGTGATACCTTCACAGTACATAGTGTCTCTGTGTCTATCAGTGTTGAGGAGAGTGTGTTAGAAGAATACGGGGACAGATGTAAATATATCAGCTTTCTGTGTGGAGGTATTCTCCTACGTGACTCTACTAGAGCATTTCTACTGAATTTGACTTTGAAGTTTGTGGGTATCCATGCACACTATACCCGTGGCATATTGCTACAACACCTGACTGTTGTTAGCTCTTGTAGGCAAGCAATAACAGTGTATCAGGTGTCAAATATGAGTGTTCAATATGTGGAGGTCTCAGAAGCAGAGAGCCACTGCATTCGCCTCCAAAAAACACACGACGTGTCCGTGAGTAAAGGGACACTCCACAGGTGTGGTGACAATGGCATACATATTGTAGCAGGCTCTGACACAGTAATAGACTCTATTCATTTCATTGCTATGGAGGCAGAGGCTATATACTTGGTAAATCTTACGAGAAACACAACCATACGTAACTCAAGAATGAGCTTGTGCCCCATTCTGTGCATTGAGCTTGAGTTTGTTTTCTACACTCTGTTTCATAATGTGACAGTCGCAGATCGTGGAATTTGGGGAACAAACATTTGGGGGACTTCCTTTGTGAATTTCAACATGACTACATCCGGTACGGGAATGGTGCTTTTCAATGCTAGTCATACAGTGATAAAGGACACGTATCTGACAATCACACAAGGCTCTGTCAGTGCTCTCTATCTAAACAATTTAAGGAATGCGACAATTGAAAATGTGGTCACAAATGCCCCAGTCTCCATCCAGAACTGTTACGATATTGTTCTTGATGGTATTTGTATCAGAAACGTGACAAATCAGCCTGCTGTTTTGGTGTATGGAAGCAGTAGTGTTACAGTGAAACACACATGCTTCAAGGAGTTCTATGACTCTGTAAGTGACACAACAGACCATCCAGCAGTGGCAGTGCTCTACCAATCGAGAGATGTTAACTTTGAAAATTGCACTTTCACTGAGAATAAAGTATCAGCAATGAAGGCAGTCGGTTCGAATGTGGACTTTCTCTGGTGTTGTGACATTCTCAAACAACACAGCACCTCTTGGAGCAGCTATGATCCTACAGCAGAAGAGTGTCATTAAGCTGGCTCTAAACTCGTCCCTCCTGTTTATTGGTAATCACGCTACGTCTGTGGGCGGTGCCGTCTATGTAGATTCCAACACTTTTTACGAGGTGGACTCTGAAAATTCTGAAACTATCACGCTCTGTTCGGTGTGCAGTTTTCAGTTCCTGGGAAAATGGTCCCATATTTATCAACAACTCGGCTGGTAATGGTGGTGATGTGGTGTATGGTGGTCACATGGGGTTAGCCACTGCCGCTTATGGTTCAAACTGTCTAACACAGTTCAAGCAAGTCTCTGTGATAAACCAGACAAACACCATGTCAGTCATTTCCTCTCAGCCTTCAAGAGTGTGCCTCTGTAACTCCACTGGTCAACCCGACTGTCTGAAGATCTTTTACAATCACATGGTGTATCCAGGAGAGAGCATTTCCCTGCCAGCAGCTGTGGTGGGGCAAGACTTTGGGGCAGGGGCCGGCTCAGTCTATGGTCAATTCCTGTCCTCTGATGATGAAGACAGCAGACTGGAGCAGTGGCAGTACAGCCAGTCGGTGGCTCAGACTCACTGCAATCAGCTCACCTACTCCATCCTCGCAGCTCCCAGTCACAGCACAGTTCTGGTCCTGACTGCTGTGGAGACTGCACAAGTACAAGTTGTGAGCAATGACAGTGTCCACAGGGCATTAGAACAATACAAAGCCTTCCAGAATGGCAATGGACTATTCCCACAAGACCTGCTTGACTTTCCTGTCTACATCAATATCTCTGTCCAACCGTGTCCACTTGGATTCAGTCTCTCTGAGCCTCCATACCAATGCGTGTGTAGTCCACAGCTACGGAAGCTCCCTGGAGTTAAGTGCTACATAGAGAACAAGACGTTTGAGAGAAGTGGTGCCTCTTGGATTGGACTGAATGAAGACAAACACTTGGCAGTGTCACAGTACTGTCTGTTGCTATTCTGCAAAGAGGACTGAGGAGAATGTATCTCTGATGATCTTGATGTCCAGTGCAACTACAACCATTCTGGTGTTCTCTGCGGGGGATGCCGGGAAGGTCTAAGTGCTGTCCTAGGGAGTCACAGGTGTCTGCGTTGCTCCAACAAGTACCTCTCTCTGCTATACCCGTTGCACTGCCGGTGTTGTGTGGTGCTTGCCATTAAAACCTGGATATCACAGTTTCTGGCGGATACATAAACGGTTTGACCTGGTACATTCAACATCATTCAGTCTAGCTGGGCAGTTTTGAGACCGCGGGGCCACAACAATGTACTGACTACCATCGTTCTTGGACCAACCTTGACTTGGGCATCGAGTCTTGTTTCTTTGATGGTCTCACTGAGTACTGGAAGATGTGGCTACAGTTCCTTTTTCCTCTGTACATTGGACCATCAGCAGGAGTGTCGTAGTGTTGGCAAGATACAGCAACAGAGCTGCGACGATAATTGGCTCCAATGCAGTCTCTGTTCTTCCCACACTATTCTGCTCTCCTACAACAAACTACTACGTAGTTGCATAGCCATCATATCCTACTCTACTGTTGAATACCCAAACTACACGAAATGGTGTGGTTACTGGATGGTGACATGATTATCTTGGAGCCAAGCACCTTCCTTGCTCGTTGTGGCTGTGGCTGATAATGATATTTCTGTGCGTTCCCTACACCCTGACTCTACTACTAGGCCAGGTGCTAGTACGGAGCAATAATCGATTCATATCTCGTGCAATGTTCCGAATCAAGCCATCTCATGGATGCCTATTACGGTCCGTTGAAAGACAAACACCGCTATTGGGTAGGGGTGCTCCTGTTATCAGAGCAATCCTTCACATTGTACTGGTCTAACTCCTGATAAAACGTAGCGGTATCATTCTTCTGGCCGCGTGTCTCCTCGCCATATTCTTACTACAAATGATTGGATATCCTTTATAATTAACTGCTAGTGTTACAAGTGTGTGATCATTCTACATTATAAACAGTGTGTACAGAGTTGATTTTAATGCACGATGTAAAAAGAGAGGCCAGGTACGCTATAGACCGTTCACCAACAATTCAGTGTGTGCATTCGAAGCTATATATGAATTGTAATAACAGAGACCTCTTCGCATTACACAGGCGCAATTTCGCAAACTGTGTTCAATGACCACAAATGAATACAATACTTTTGAAGTATATCTGGCATCGTCAGCAATGACCAAAAACTAGTTATGTGTGTAGATAATACCTAACTAGCCACTGGTGAAGATTTGTGCGCATGCGCTAAATATTTCTTGGGTGTGGCTAGGCTCTGCAAGCGCAAGTGTTTGCGCGCCGCGCGTAGGAATCACATCCGTGCTTCGAGCCGGTCGTCAGGCCAGGGACAGTGTCGGGTTCGTGTGTGCTTAAAGTCAGAGATGGAGGCCGAGGTTTTGTTTGAGTATAGGAAAGAGAATCCTGATGAGCTGGATCTCAAGATTGGAGAAATCATCACCAATGTCACAGAGGTAAGGTACATGGGGGTAACTTCGACACGGGGTAATACACGGACATAACTCGCTATTCAGAAACGAGAGAAAGATTCGGATATGTTTCACTTGATTACTACCTACCAAAGCGCTAAAATATCTTCCTCGCGTTTTTGTGCAGCTAATAATTTCGAGGCCGGTGTTACGCCCCCATGTCCGGTTACCTCTGCGCCCAATACCCCCTGTTGTGGGAAGCTGTGTATTGTTAGCCTTCGTGCGTGAGGGACAGTAGTAGACCTCTTCAGTCTTGTTCCATGAATCACCCTAAAGAGAGGAAGAGAGTGTTGTGACAATTGCGGAGTCTTGGTGGGCTGGTTGACCAACGAAAATCATATGTAAGCTTATGCCTGCATAACAAAACGAAGCTCTGTGGATGCTGGGTGAAAATTATGTGACATTACAAAGACAGATGCAGATCCAGCAGAACAAAGAGTAAATATCACTAGACCTTTTTTTTTTCTCTTGGAGGGTGGGGTCAGCGAACAAGAGACAACTTCTCTCCCAATTCCATACATGTCCCACACATTCATAATTATATGCATACTCCCTCTCTCCAGGTGGTGGATGATGGCTGGTGTGAGGGGACCAAGAATGGAGAAAGAGGGATGTTTCCTGACAACTTTGTCAGGTTGAGGCCCTCTCTAGCTTCAAGCGATCAGCCTAAAAGGACAATGAGGCCAGCCACAGTAACCCCTCTAGCTTCCAGCAAACTATATAAAAGGACGACGAGGCCAGCCACAGTACGCCAAGCCCACAGTTGAACCGCAAGCTGTTACTATTTTCTTCACCAGGCATAGATCAAAGATTTCATTAAGCTGAGCCAGCCACAGGTAAGCCCAGTGCAATTATGCATAATATCGGCTTTTTCGTTGGTTTTCACAGCATATCTCTCGAATGCAGTCGTTTCAGGAAAATCTCAATCTTCTTTTCAGGCTCACGTAGTTCTGAAGCCTTGGTAGTGCTCAGATACCGCCTCGTACCTGTAGTGCTGCCAATAAACACAGCCGATAAATACAGACACACAGACTAAGTACTGTAACCCTCGTGCATGTGCCATGCCTCGGTCACTTTTCGGTTAGTTCTTGGTTATCAATTCAAGACTAAGTTTTGGGTCACAAAATCTGCTGGTAAGCATTTTACATTGTCCTCCGCATTGAGTAACCGATAATATATTTCGTGGCTCAAAGCTGGTACTATAAAGTGTTGAGGGTTATGCACTGTAAAGTGCTTTTCATTATTCTGTGAGCTCCAACTCGTAACCTAAAACCCTATACAGTTGCATGTCATATGTAAATGTATAACTGTACATTAGGTGGCCTTTGTATATACTACAGACTATGACTATGTAGAGCTACCTGCAAAGGAATGAACTACGTCCATCAATAGGTCATTCAAGATTCCACCCAAGATGCCTCCACCCGTGATTCCTCGTCGTGAACCAATTCCTCCCTCCAGTAGGGGCTGGGATGGGCGAAGAGCCTCCACTGAAACTGTGTATCAGAATGATTATGGTAAGAACATGCATACACACCACTTCTATATATGCAGGACGAGCGCTATAAGAGCATCCTAAGTTGGACTGACATAGCTAACTACTGTCATATTCCACGAGCTATTTTGTAACTGGGTAGTGCATGGTTAATAGGTGAAACCACATGCATTCGAGAGTTTATGGTGTGAAACTACTGTGCAAATGAGTCTCCTCAACCAGGTTTTGCCAATTAATTGCATTGTGGAGGCATGAAGATTCCGAGCGTGAGTATCCAGTCGTGTTGTCTTAAAACGTTGCATGCTGTAGGCCACTATACTGGTCCTCATGGATAATTAATGAGGCTAGAAAATGAAAAAAAGTGGGACCCGAACCCCATAGTACCCTTGTGTTCTACTCAAGATCTCTACCCACCACACTACTCCCTTGACAACCTACGCACAGTAGGTCAAAGTATGAGCTATATTAAAAAAGATCGGAGAATTGTGCGTGGGCGGATGTTTTTTTCAATAGCATAGCTAAAACGCTCGTGATTATAGTGAATTTAGGTATATTTCTCGGGTTTTTTCCTACTGTTTTCCAAACCATTAGCATAATTCATATTCCTCTCAATACATTCTCTGGGAGTGGAGAGAAAAACTCCTGCGCGACTCACCAGGAGCGAACGGTCCGTCTCCATTATGCGCAGTGGCTTTCTTTGCCTGCTTCGGTACGCGGGAGAAAGCTAAATTTTGCGCTATAGATTAGCGTGACCGGGTGGCAAAGGTCACGTGAAAACGTAATGCTCAAAACTTGGCCACGCCTATTTTTCGGGATGGCTCTAATTATTATTATTATTATTATTGATTGATGCACACAGCAGTAAAGATGCAGGAGGCAGAAGGCACGCCATTACCACGGACCGTTCGTTCCTGGGTGAGTCGATGGGTTTCCCATAGAGAATGTATTGAGGGGGAATATTAATATGCTAATGAGTTTGGAAAACAAGGTAAAAAAATCCGAGAAATATACCTAAATCACCAAAATACTAGTGTTTTGCGTGCCATTGAAAAAATATCTGAAACATACGCCCACGCACATTCTCCGGATCATTTGACTATAAACAGCGTAATGTGTTTAGTATACCTAACCTTGCAAACCTCGAATTGTGGTGTGTCTATATATCCAGGGATAGGGGAGACAAATCTTGGATATATACTCAGTACTCTGAAGACCTTGAATACAGGAAGATAGTACCTCAGCATGAATGTGACACAGTACTGCATGCAACTTGACGTCTGGTGCGAAGGCAACTGCAATGGCTACACGCCCCGCGAACCAGCTCGTAATCGCAGCATGGGGTGTCGCTGCCTCTATTGAGGTTTGTATCTGGGGTTCACACACTGTGAGTGTTGTGCCTCTCAAGAGACCACCTCGTGCCTGAGCCTGCAGATAGCTGCCGACAAACAGACACACAGACTAAGTACTGTAACCCTCACTGTGCATGTGCCATGCCTTGGTCACTTTTTTGCTTAGTTCTTGGTTATTAATTCAAGATCAAAGTTTGAGTCACGAAATCTGCTGGTCAGCATTTTACATTGTCCTCCGCATTGAGTAACCAAACATATTTTGTGACTCAAAACTGGCACTATAAAGTGGTGAGGGTTATGTACTGTAGAGTATTTTTTATTATTATTCTGTGAACTCCAACTCGGAACCTAAATCCCCATATAGTTGCATGTCACAAGTGTCTAACTGTACATTAGGTGGCCTTTGTATATACTGCAGGAGACTATGAAGAGGTTCGTCTACCCATTCCACCCGTGATTCCTCGTCGTGAACCAATTCCTCCCTCCAATAGGGGCTGGGATGGACGAAGAGCCTCCACTGAAACTGTGTATCAGAATATCCGGCGAACGACCTCTGGTAAGAACATGCATACACACCACTTCTAATATGCAGGACGAGCGTTATAAGAGCATCCTAAGTTGGACTGACATAGCTAACTACTGTTATATTCCACGAGCTATTTTGTAATGCGTGGGTATGTGTATGGTTAATAGGCGAAACCACTGCATTCGAGAGTTATGTTGTGAAACTCTGTGCAAATGAGTTTCCTCAACCAGGTTTTGCCAATTAATTGCATTGTGGAGGCATGAAGATTCCGAGCGTGAGTATCCAGTCGTGTTGTCTTAAAACGTTGCATGCTGTAGGCCACTATACTGGCCCTCATGAATAATTAATGACGTTAGAAAATGTACATGTAGAAAAAAAGGTGGGACCTGAACCCCCTAGTACTTACATACCCTTGTGTTCTACTCAAGATCTCTACCCACCACACTACTCCCTTGACGACCTACGCACAGTAGGTCAAAGTATGAGCTATACACACACGATTTGCTATAACACACGTAATGTGTTTAGTATACCTAACCTTGCAAACCTCGAATTGTGGTGGGTATCCAGGGATAGGGGAGACAAATCTTGGATTATACTGAAGACCTTGAATACAGGAAGATAGTACCTCAGCATGAATGTGACACAGTACTGCATGCAACTTGACGTCTGGTGCGAGACAATTACACGTCCCGCGAACCAGCCTCGTAATCGCAGCATGGGGTGTCGCTGCCTCTATTGAGGTTTGTATCTGGGGTTCACACACTGTGAGTGTTGTGCCTCTCACAAAGAAAGAGCCTCTTCCTCTGGTTGGGGAAGAGGGCCTAGGTGTGTTCTCCAGCCTTTATGCATGCGCATGGGCCAAGCCTCGTCTCCAGAGACTCCACCCCTCTGCACAGGAAAAGGAATCACAGTGTCCCATGGTGACCAGTGCAGTAGTGCATCAATTACGCATACTACAGATCATACACTTGACCAAACTGTATATGAATTCTAGACCATGCACAAGGAATAGGGCGGCGAATAATTTATTACAAGCATTCATACCCTAGAAAGCATTTTGGCAAGCAAAATTAATGCTAGTGCAAAATTTCAGCGAATTTACACGTAAATAGATGCGTGTTGAGGACAGTCTTTGACCATCTGATAGCCATAAAATAATGGAAAACGCGCAATTCACACGTCTAAGAGGCTCTCTAACTTGCAAAAAATATATGATTAGAAAACTCCCATACAAAGTTCCTGCCCCCCCTGTGTATCTCTCTACAGATGAAGAGGCACGAGGATATATTGATGAAGCAATGAAGCAGGGCTATGTGAATGTTACACTTGTCAAAGTGATTGTGGAGGGACCTGCAGGTGTCGGCAAAACCTCAATCATTTACCTTCTCCTTGGAAAACCGCCTCCAAAAGATAGACACAGTACTGGGTGCGCCGAGCGAGCAATTCGAGTGATACGCGTGGGTAAGGAGGGGGAAAAGTGGAGCGAAATCCCTGCCAAGGAGTTCCAGGAAATGATTGCAGAAGCGGTTCCTATTCTGTTTGAAGACCTCAAAGTGAAGGGAAAGGGGATGGAGGAACTGGATATGGTTTTATCGAGTTTGGAAGAGGGACAGACATCAGGAGGGGAGCAGGGAGAAGGAGAGGGAGAGGGAGAAGGAGAGGGAGAGGGAGAAGGAGGGGGAGAGGGAGAGGGAGGGGGAAGGGAAGAGGGAGGGGGAAGGGACGAGAGAGAGGGTTAAAGACAGGAAAGGTGGTTGGGAAGAAGAAAAGGAGGTGAAGGGTAAGGAAGAGAAGGGTGTTGGTGGGGAAGGAAAGAAGGATGAAGCCACAAAGGTAGAGAAGAAAGAGGGCACAGCAGTCATTGATAGCGTGATCGAGAAGCTGACTAGACTGGTGGGTGGTGGGAAATCGTCACGTCGTCTCCAGGACATGGAGTTGATCTACCTAACCGACACAGGTGGCCAGCAACCGTTCTGGGACCTCATCCCGATATTCGCATCTGACACGTCAGCCACCCTCTTTGTCTCCCGGCTCTGTGAGAAGCTTGACGAGCACCCACGCAACGACCTCTACACAGAGGGAACAGGTTGGTCCCAGCCAGCGAGCCCACACTCATCTCTGCCGAAGCCTTCAGACTATGCTTCGGAGGCCTGCACGAAGGGAAGGAAAGTCCTCCAATCATTTTGGCCTTCGAACGCACATGGATTTAGATCCGATGATTGCGAAGAGACACTGGAAAGAAAAAAAAAAAAAATACCAAAAAAAAAAAAAACCTCCCAAAAAACAACCCAAAAAGTGCAAGACCCAACAAACACAACCAACCCCCCAAACCCAACAACCGACTCACACCCCCTCTCCCTTGTCCCGGGCCTGCCCCCCCCCGACACCCACCCCCCCCCCCTCCACCCCCCCGCGCCCCCCCCCCCCCTGCGTCCCCCTCCCCACCCCCCCCCCCCCCCCACCCCCCTCCCACCACCCCCCCCCCCCCCCCCAGCCCCCCCCCCCCCCCCACCCCCCCCACCCCCCCCCCCCCCCCCCCCCCTCCCCCCTCTCCCCCCCCCCCCCCCCCTCCCCCACCCCCCCCCCCTCCACCCCTCGCACCCCCCCTCCCCCCCCTCCCCCCAGAAACAAAAAAAAAACAATACAGTTTGTCTGCAATAGCTGCGCCTCACTTTGAGGAAAGAAAGATTGTCGTTTTCAGAAATGATGGCATGCAGGAGATAGTTTTCCGCGTCAACACAAAGGCTCCAGACGAAGACGAGACGAACGAGGCATCGTAAAATCAGCGCCAGCATTGAAAACATGGAAGCCACGCAACACAGAGTCGATATGGTGGTTCATCCTCCAGAGGATCCTGGAAGCACTGGCATCCACAAGCTAGGGGAGAGCGTTCTGAACGACAATAGACGAGTGAGCGTCCACATTTGCAGTACGCTGGGGTCGTGGAGGGAGAACTGATGCTGCTGGCCTTCTTTGACAAGCTCAAGCATTTTCCTCTACAAGAAGAAGTTGTCTGTTCTTCCCTTTCCCAGAGTCGTGTTCACCAATCCGCAAGTCCCGTGGACAACTCTCAAGGCTCGTGGAGAAGCAGTACCGACCTCGAAAGCTGCGAGCCGACTCTCGCAAAAGCTGCTTGTGTGGCAATGAGCGGCGTGAGAAACACGGGTTTTACCGTCGCATGTGCTCCTCGCTGCTCGCATGTTCTTAATGATTCAGGGGCCACTACGTCGATGGGATTTTTACACCTGCAGATTTTCTCTACATTGCTCAAAACGTCTTTGCTCGCGGCTCTCCAAATTGTCCGTGAATGAGTAATTCTTCTTTCGGCGATTCTCAGCAGGACCACCATGAAACCAAGATTAAAGCGTGCTCATGTCATCAGACACACCAGACTAGCTCCTCTGACGTGGTGATTTGTTCCCCACGCGTGCTGCGGCTCCGCCCACGGTGGGTCTACTGACTTCTGCTGTGTGTGCGTTCAGTCCCACTCTGGCGGAAAGTGGTGAAGAAAAGATTGAGAAGAAAGCCGCTGTGCACAAGCCACGCAGCAGGAGTTCAACACGACTCTCACCCCACGCACCGCACACTCACTGTTCATTTCTCCGTCGCAACTGTATTGGCATTCACATTCCTCAGCAAAACCGGCATTTGGGCAGGCCTGGTTCCAGTGACACTCGTCGATAACCTTTTCTTCGTTGCAGTGTGCGTTAACATAGACACCAGCAGATGGAGCGAGAGAGGGGATTTAGCTCAGCATTGCCGGAGGCCATCAAGACCGAGCTCTTGCTGCAGTCAAGGCCGCCTGGAGAGATATCCCACACAAAGACACGACACCCACTTCTCTACCTGCTTTCCTCTGTCCCAGACAGGACGCTCTGCAGCACTCGAATGCACGTTGCAAAGGCGACCTCCTCCAGCTATGAAGCAGTGGCATGATTGCTCTCGCCACAGTGGAGTATTCGACTATCTCACTCCGGACCAGACATTGTGTCGCTAGTGGAAAACTGATGAGTACTGTACGTCATTGCCACAGTGGAACCCAAGCTATGGCGGCCAAAGATTTTCCCCTTGTATAATTCTATCAGACAGAGGTCGTCCCATTATACACTAAAGTATTCGCTTGAGTTGACACATCTGCCTTTGTAAAGGGTCACCCCACTAGGAGGGTCCTTATCGGAGGTCCACTGTAGTACAGCGCATGAGCTTTGACCATAGATTGTGATAGAAATTCTCCTCTTTTCTCGTTGGAAGCTGTTGCTCTTTCACAGACATCACTTCCCAAACTCAGTAGTGACGGCACATCGCGTCGCTAGCAATATTCCCCACAAGTGGAAAGAAGTAGCTTTTCAACATTGGAGATCAAGCATGGGCGACAGGAGGAGCAGCCATCGAGAGGAACGACGTCAAATCCTTTGATCGATTCATGGCGGTCCGCGAACGTGGAAGGGAAGCAATCGGCGCAGTCTGCCATACACCTGGAGAGCATTGTCACTGTCTTGAAGTCAGCATCTGTCGATGAGGCAATAATTGCAGCGAGGAGCTGGCGAAAGACTTTTGCTAGATTCATTTTTATCTGTTTGTGCATTTGTGCTTTTTTACTCGACTTGTAAAGAAGCTGTACACAAGTACAGCACCAAAATGTGTGCCACTGCACCGAGGAGATTGCACAGTATACAGAGCACTGTAGATCACGGCGCATGAGTAAAAGGGATGGTGCGTAGACATTATGAAGGTTGCAAATGATCACCAGATTCAAAGGTGTTAGGATTCTATGCGCAAAGTTGAAACTGTATCGAAGTGTAAATGTGAACCCTAAAGTCGTTCGCCGTGTTCACGCTTGGCGCCGCGCGCTAGTTCCTAGTAAACCCGCTCCGCAGCACGCACGCGTCTTTCAAAGTAGTATATACAAGGAGCATATCCGGGTGCGTGTGTTGATAATTGCGCACGTTGTGCTTGCGAGCGGATGGCCATACTTGCCTATGACATACAGACTAACTTCGCAAGCATGCGTCAGGTGCAAACATAGGCTGCATCATACATAGAACCTACGCGCTACTACTCTGCAAAGGCAGTGCGCTTGTGAAACTCAGAAGCGAACGTGTAGTATAGCGAGTTACAGCTGATTTCTACCCCTACCGGCAAGTGAACGCGACCAGCGACTTTAATTTCAGAGCAAAAAGGAATGTGTTTGAATTGCAAGGCAGAGGCATGCGTTCGCGAGGAATAGGAAATAATATATGCCGTTGAGTAAAAGTATGTTGTAGACATTGATGACTGAGTTGGTTGCAGGGCCCACAACCCTGATATACAGCACACATATAACATTGTGTGTCGGAGTAGGGTTACCATCAGACAGTGGAGAGCATATGTTTTTGTTTTTGGTGCATGCGTCTATACTGTCTTGATGTCCTTCAGTGACTGTCTGCCTTGGGTCAACAGCAATCTGACAGTCCCCTGGTGGTAAAAAAACAGTGTTTGACATTAATAGCACTGTTGGGGCGTGATGGTGTCCGATTATACTCTCCATCCAAGGACCATACTGTACAGTAGTCAACACGAACAGACAGGAATTATCACTGCTTGATACTCTAGTATATATAATGCAGCATGTTGTGGACACACATAGAAACTCCGAACACAGCAGTTTCAGAGAAAACCCCACATATTTTCGTACCTGATGACGCTGATACGTTGTATTGTTTGCGGAGCGATTGATGGCCCACTCGTGAGTGAGATGTGGACAGACTGACTGACTGACAGCGACAGACAGACACACACACACACAAACTAGCCGTAACCCTCGCTGCGCATGCGCCGAGGTAAAAATTGACCACCAATCTCTGCTGATGAACCAAGAGAAGCTAATCACCTCATCTGTAGTGTGTCTCCACTTGTCAAACTCTCCTCTCACCCACCTCCTCATCTCCTCCCTCTCCCTGGCCCCGCCCGCATCACGACTCACACGCAGAAACTGGCGGTAGAGGCACAGGCCTCTCGACGTAGAATGAACTACGAACAAAAACGTGTAAAATCCGCCTGAGAACTGCTATCACTTTTTGCCTAGGCTAGAATCTTGCAAACACAAGAGTAACAACTTAGCTTTTGTATATGCATGTTACCTACCTGCCGCAGAGACAAGAAACTCGAAGAGGTTGCAGTTGGGCCCATTTAAGTTTCAAAATTACTGCGATAGTTTCGTTGATTTGGAACAGTTTCCTTGGCAACGACGTCGTAAATACTTTTTTTGGTGGTGCGCGCTCCGTTGTGCTTGCTGCTGCAGGTGGTGTGTGCTTCTGCTCGTCAAGGTGTAGTACGAACGGCTCTAAAATGGCCGCCGTAGAGGCTGAAGGCTTCACTATCAGGCTGCATGAAAATCTAGGTAAACACTTTGAACACTAGCTAACTACACCGGGAAAATGAGCTTACACTGTATGAAAGCTACTACTTTATGGTAAAAGTAATGAGGAATCCCAGGTTTTTCGCTTGAAATCTATGCTCCAAATGACGTTAATTTGTGTTAGTTTAGGATACTGTCCATATTAACAAACTGTTGAAGAGTGAACTATAAGGTTGCATGTTCCTACACAATATCTGTAGTTATGGCTAATGATTGTAGTCAGGAGGATGACTATCCTACCACGCAGGTAAAAGAGCCCTACCAAAGGCTGGGGCCTTCAAGGAGAGACCTGCCAAGCCCACCTCATTCAGAAGTTCTATGATCGTGGGGACTTCCCATTGCACTGGAGCATGACCACATAAGGGCAACAGGATTGCATGGAAGCTTAGTATATAGAGCTATGATATAATCCTGTCTGCATGTGTATTACATGACACTGAGAGAGTATTTCAACCATGCAACGGAATCTCTTGCGGCTGTAACAGCAAACTACTTGCCATGTGTTCCGAAAGTAGCTCGGACAAACCATTGTGCTGAAATCTTAGACACAAGCTGTGTTTGTCTCTTCTCCTCTGGTGGATCATTGCCATTTGAAATGGGTCTTACACACTCTCTTATTACGGTCTCTGTACACCAATAGATATCTCCTTCAGACTGTCATTAGTGCAGTGGTGTATGGAGCCACTGTCAGTCCCTCCAACTATGGTAAACTTCAAAGTCACCCATCTGCATACTTTCCGTATTCTTTCCATTTACTGTGTACTTTAGCATGCAATTTGAAGCACTTGTCTCCTCTGTATTGCTCGATTCTCACCGTCAGACAGTAGCTAGAGTATACAATTTAAAACACCCAGAACTGTTGAGTTATTAATGCATAGGTTCCTCATGTGACTCATTCCTATTTCTCTTGCTAGAAGTGTATCACACCAACCACCTATTACTGCTCTACACTGCTCTAGTGTACATGTGGAAAAGATATAGAGGGAGCTGGACTACCATCACTACTTACCCCTGTTCTTTGATGGAATGTGTGAGACCACGTCTCCCCACGGTTCTTTGCCAGGCATGGGGTCCACGACATGCTGGAGCACGGTGGCTCCAAGATAGCTGCCGTCATTCCCCAGCTCATCGATCCCATCAGCGTGAGTCCTCGCCAGACTCCTTACAGGCTATGGTCAATATACACTTAGTCGCACAATACTGACTGTTCCTTCCTTTGTTTTTCATATCGGTATATATATATATATATATAGTAAGCACATGATAGTGAGAACCGTGGAAAGGACGATCTCCCTTTTCACGGAGGTGTGCTGCTCGTCTCTGCTCCCTAACTTGTCTCTTTCACAATGTCTCTTACTACTTACTCTCCCATTTCCAACAATCTTCAGTGCTGCAAAGCACGATTGTTTAGTTTACGCATTTGTCCAGTTCACTGGCTATTTATATACTAGCCGTAAATTTCACTGTAAAAGCCAATGTAATACGACGCACAATGTACGCGTATCCTGTCGGTCTCCACTTCTCTCATTGCCCACCCTGCAGATGCCCTCCACACCAGACCCCGAGTCATCTGCACCACACTGAAGGTCCTCCAGCATCTGGTGGTGTCGCTGAGATGGTGGAGAGGCCATGGTCCCCTACTACCGACAGATCTTCCCATCCTCAACATCTACAGAACAAGACCTGTAGTTGTCACTCTAGTGGCTGCGATGCGAGACCATAATTATGCTGAAAGTGACTAAAGGAGTAAATTTGTGAAAGTACTGATAATTGTAGGGCCCTGACTAAGATCAAGTGTTACGTTAGGTGTTGAAACTATTATGGTAGCTCTGCAGTGAATATACACATCAAATGCATATTGTTTACCAAAGCGAGCCAACATAATATAGTCATCTGAATGCATGATATCATATCTGATGATAAGGGCACTGTCACACATACTGTAATGCGTAATTCTACAACTACGAACATTGTGTCTTCCATTTGTGCACAGTGAACATTGGGGATGGGATAGACTACAGCCAGCAGAAGAGAGAGAACATTGGAGACCTCATTCAGGAGACTCTGGAGGCATTTGAACAGCACGGTGGAGATGATGCCTTCATCAACATCAAATACATGGTCCCCACCTACGAGTCCTGTCTCCTGAAATGACACACCGAGCTGTTGGTTTTTCAGCACTGAGAGAGCAAAACTTTCAACATCCACCCACTCATTCACTCATTTCACACTAACCATACACACGAACACAGAAACACAACCTTCCTGTCATATGGTGTAATGTGAAGTGATCGATCTTTGTACGCCTCGTGTTGTACGCATGCGCCGTGCGCTTGGTGCATAGAGAGCGCTTATATTAAGCGCGCACAAGGTGAGTTTGTGTACAGAGCGCTTATAGTAACAAGGTGTCAGCTAGCTCAACTCGTGCAGAAGGTCGAGAGAGGATGGAGAAAGGTAGAGTGAGGGAAGAGAGGCCTCGTTCGAGGTCTCCCCAGGCCAGGAGGGAGATCACGAAGCCCATGTCTGCAGTCGAGGAGGTCATCAAAGAGTCACCACAATACGTCGTGGACAGGGAAAAGGTGCGTTTACTCTAATCAGAGCGCACCGTTACCGTGATCTACCGCTGTCGCTCTGCTGCCGACATTGTGCCTGTGTGATTGATAGTTTCTGTTTGTTCAGAGTCTTATATTGCACACTAATACCCTTCTCTAGACTTGTCCAATGCTGCTTCGTGTGTTCTGCAGCATGGGGCGTCATCACAGGTATGTACATAGGCATTGCTATGCCGTCTTCATATTATTGTTAAAAAGTACACTGCACAACTTATCTACATGATTTTCTCCACATACACAATTTTCAGAGTTGCATAACATAGGTGTTTTTTAATCAAGGCTGACTTTGTATCTCTCTGTATTGTTTTTACCTGTGTCTAGATTGGATGAGTTCAACAGAAACAGTGTTCCTTCCAATGAGCTGCAGATATACACTTGGTGTAGTATCAGCCAGTGTCGTGTAGCTATAGTGCAGAAGATGTTCTACTTTTTTGCGCTCTCTATTGTGCTGGATGGCTGTTTAGTGAATTCTTAGGTGCTCCCTTATAGATGTGTTAGATATCGCACCCAGCTTAATTGCATGTTGACAATGAATTAGGTATGTGGTGTGTGTATGACCAGTCACGTAGCTCTGCCATTGCTCTGCCATTGCTCTTGGTCACACACTGGATGTTCTGTATGCTGGATGCTCCGTACCTGGGCGAGCTACTAGTTGGAGACCACGAGTAACGCATACTAATAGCAGCCCAGCCCATCAGATTAGCGGTACCGCGGTGCGCATTTCGCCGATGGTTTTGCATCCGTACCTAGTATCACTACATTCGCTGTGTTCTCACTGTATTGTAGCTTCATTGGTTGGGCTACTAGAGATGTATGTATACAACTTAGGCAGAAGATGTTAATTTATCAAGCCGAGTGAGTGAAAGTGTCAAGATTGTGATTCCCAGACATTAACCAGTTCTTCGGTTTAGCCACCGCGCAGTGCCACCATAGGAACTCTGTGTGGGTATGATGTATTATACGTATATGTATGTCTACGTGTATACACACTTTGAATGGCTGCAAATGTCTCCATGATGTGTCATCAATGGGCATTCTAAAGTTTCCGCTTATGTACGTCGCTTGTTGTGCAGGTTGGACTGCACTCTGCGAGAGATGATGACACTCATCAGAGAGGGTGACCCCAGACACAAGGCCAGGTACCATGTTCCGTTCTCCATCCACCGTGTACCCTGACCCACCGCCGGGGAGCTTCCTCCGGATGAGGATCTCTGGCCGGGCAGACTTGCTGGGGGAGGAGGGACATACGACAACATTACCCTCCATTCCAGCAGCAAAGTTTCAAAGTCGTGGAGCTATGTAGACGTGGCTATACTCTCTAGGCCACCCAGAGGTCGACTCTACAAGCGTAGTGTGACCTGGTGTTCATGATACACCTGCTTATATGCTTCTTTCTTTCTTCGATGATGTTGCTTTTCATGGTACACTGTGCCATTGAATACAGAGGAACCCTCTCTCAATGACACCCGCGAGGTGATCTGACTAAGGACAGTTTTGTAGCAGCTATACAACATTAGATATAACAATGCTAAGACATCCGTTGTTTATATATACTTCAGTGTGCAGATGGCTTTTTCGACGTGGGTTTACGCTTCTTTTCTCGATGTAACCTTCTTGATTATCGCTCGGCTATCGGCCCAAAGAACCCCACAGCATTCTTCGTTAGAAGTGTCTTACTATGGTATTTATAATGTTATCTCGATCCATCTAACAATCCCATGCAAAGAAAACGCCCCGTATACCAAATAGAAAGACTGGAATTACGGGCCCAGGCGCCAAAGGTCCCATGAAATCAAGGGGCGCCAACGCGGCCCCCAGACAGCAGAACAGAGAGAGAGATTCAAGGAGAGAAACGGGAGGAGGATGAAGATAGCACATTGCAAAATACGGGACCGGGTGAGGTGCCCCGAAGAGCCAACAAAAACGCGGAATGAGAGGGGGCCGAGAGGGAAGAAGGAGAGAGGGAGAATAAGGGTCATCAGACAGACTAAGGAAGCTGATCCGGGAAGGTGGAGGACTAGGAGTGTAGTAAGAGGGATGGTGAAGTGGTGGGGGATATATCGGAAGAAGGGGAGAAAACGGCTCAGGAGAAGTAGAGGAAACGAACAGAGAGTGGTAAGAGTCGAAAAACTAGGGTGAAACGGAGTAGCAAACAGACGGAAAAAAAAGGGAAAGTAAGACTAGAAATGATTGCTGAGGCCAGAGACAACAAGAGAACGGAGCTAGAATATATACGAAGAGAAGCCGATGAAATCATAATATGTAGGGGGAGTTGGGAGATCAGTAGGTGTTGGGCAGGGAGAAGGGGTAGAGCTGACCGACATGGGTGGCTGGGACACGGGAAAGGAATACTGGGGAAGTGAAGTCGGGGTTGAAAAATTGAGACCGAAGGGAGATATCAAAGGAATGAGAAGTACGGGATGGGAGAAGGGAGGGGCTGAAGATAAGAGATCAGTTGAGGAGGACAATGGGGCGGAACACAGAGAGGTAGTGGGGACCGAACTGAGATCCAGCAGAGGCACAAGGAGGAAAGACAAAAAGAGGTAGAGGACCGGGAAGTCTATGTCGAGTACACAAAGCGGTGTTCTAAACGGTAAGGCCTGAGGTGGAACGCAGGGGCAACGCAAAGCTGTGATGGCATGGAGGGGGACAGCGTAGTGGTGAAGTGAAACGGGAACAAAAGGGAGCTAACGAAGAAGGAAGTAAGAGGGGAGGACTAACAAGTGCAGGTCAAGAGACAAGTGAGAGCCAGGAGAAAGATGGTAAAAGATCAGGTTGGAGATTGATGGGTGGAGCGAGATGAGGTCAAGATAAACTGTATGTAAAAGGCAACTGGACGGGGGGGCGAGTGAACATGTGTGAAAAAGGCTAGATAGCGAGAAAAATGGCCAAAAATAAAACAAAAAAAGCCGGAGCAAGATTGATGGGGGAAGAAATTCCTAACTAGTGTAGATTGAAATAGAAATGCGGGCGGTCATGGGCAGTATGGTGAAAGGTAATAAAGAAAGTAAACCAGGAAAAAAAAAAACGCAAACGGGACCAGAGTGGGCAGGAGAGCTGGGGGAAAGATCAGAGCGGCAGGGGTAAGAAGACCAGCGAATGTGGTGGAGAAACCAACCTCGTCTTCTTCTTCCCCCTCTAGATACCACACTACGACGACCACCGGTTGTTGTCGTCGGAAATAAGCAACCAGCGCTTACATTAAACGCCCATCTGCACACTGAGAGTATATATACACAACGGATGTCCTTCGCATTGTTATATCTAATTGTTGTATTAGCATGCTACAAAACTGTCCTTAGTAGATCACCTCTGGGTGTCATTAGAGAGGGGTTCCTCTGTATTCAATTGACAAGTGTTACCATGAAAAGAACATCATTCGAAGAAAGCATAATAACAGGTGTATCATTGAACACCAGGTCACACTACGCTAGTAGAGTCGACCTCTGGGTGGCCTAAGAGATATAGCCACGTCTACATAGTCCCGATTTGAAACTTTCTGGAATGGAGGGTAATGTTGTCGTCTGTCCCCCTCGTCCCCGAGCAGGTCTGGCCAAGATCCTTCATCCGGAAGCCTCCCCGGCGGGGGTCAGGGTACACGGTGGAGAACTGGAACATGGTACCCTTGGCCCTTGTGTCTGGGTTCACCTCTCTGATGAGTGTCATCAGCTCTCGCAGAGTGCAGTCCAACCTGCACAACAAGAGACGTACATAAGCGGAAATTTTAGAATGCAAAAAAAATTGATGACAATCATGGAGACAATTTTGCAGCCATTCAAAGGTGTATACCACTATACATACATATACGGTATATACATCATACACCACAACAGAGTTCCTATGGTTGGCACTGCGAGGTGGCTAAACCAAGACTGGTTAATGTCTGGGAATCACAATCTTGAATATTTCACTCACTCTGCCTTGATAAAATTTAACATCTTCTGCCTAATATGTATATACATACATCTCTTAGTAGCCCAACCAATGAAGCTACAATACAGTGATAACACAGGCGAATGTAGTGTAATAAGAGGGCAGGTACGGAGATATCCAGCATACAGAACATCCAGTGTGTGACCAAGAGCAATGGCAGAGCTACGTGACTGGTCATACACACCCACATACCTAATTCATTGTCAACAATGCAATTAAAGCTGGGTGGATATAACACATCCTATAAAGGGAAGCACCTAAGAATTCCTAAACAGTCCATCCAGCAACAATATAGGAGAGCCAAAAGGAGAACAATTTTCTTCACTATAGCTACACGACACTTGGCTGATACTCACCAAGTGTATATCTGCAGCTCATTGGAAGGAACACTGTTTCTGTTGAACTCATCCAATCTAGACACGGGTAAACAATACAGAGAGATACAAAGTCAGCCTTAATTAAAAAACACCTATTTTATGCAACTCTGAAAATTTTGGATGTGGGGAAAATCATGTAGATAAGTTGTGCAGTGTACTTTTTAACAATAATATGAAGACGGCATAGCAATGCCTATGTACATACCTGTGATGACGCCCCATGCTGCAGAACACACGAAGCAGCATTGGACAAGTCTAGAGAAGGGTATTAGTGTGCAATATAAGACTCTGAACAACAGAAACTATCAATCACACAGGCGGCAATGTCGGCAGCAGAGCGACAAGCGGGTAGATCACGGTAAGCGGTGCGCTCGATTTAGAGTAAAACGCACCTTTTCCGTCTCCTGTCCACGACGTAGTGTGGTGACTCTTTGATGACCTCCTCGACTGCAGACAGGGCTCGTGATCTCACCTGGCCTGGGGAGACCGTCGAACAACCGTAGAGCACCAGTACAAACTGTAACCTCAACTCGACAAACACCCACCAAAGGACCCAGACGAGAAGGACGACGACTCCCGAGAAGAAGAGGCAATGTACTAGGCGCCTATTCCAGGGACTCCGGGAGAGCAGGAGTCTTGCACTCTAGCGTCGTTCTCCTCTCGCCCTATTCTTAGTTCTCACCTTCCTCTCGACGCGTTCTTTGTCTCTTTTTAACTGCAGGGCGACGCTCTGACCCCAATCACGGGAGCGCCGCTGGACCTTGGTCCTCTCCTCACCGCCTAAGGTTACTCGGTGCGTTTGTACGACTCCCGCTCATGCCTTGTGCGCTGCTGACTATAAGCGCTCTCTATGCACTCAAGCGCACGGCGCATGCGTACAACACTGCAAGTGCAGTGAGCAAAGAATTCCGATCCCTTCACATTACAAACGAACACCATATTATGACGGTATGTTGTGTTTCCTGTGTTCGTGTGTATGTATGCATATAATTGAATGATTGTGTGTATGGATTTTAAAGTTTGCTCTCTCTCAGTGCTGAAAACACAACAGCTCGGTGTGTCATTTCAGGATACGACAGGACTCGTATGTGGGACCATGTATTTGATGTTGATGAGGCAGATCATCTCCACACCGTGCTGTGTCATAATGCGCTCCAGATGTCCCCTCTGAATGAGTCTCGTCCAATGTTCTCTACCCTCTTCCCTGCTGCTGGCTGTAGTCTATCCCATCCCCAATGTTCACTGTGCACAAATGGAAGACACAATGTTGTAGTTGTAGAATTACACATTACAGTATGTGTGACAGTGCCCTTATCGTCAGATATGATATCATGCATTCAGATGACTATATTATGTTGGCTCACTTTGGTAAACAATATGCATTTGATGTGTATATTCACTGCAGAGCTACCATAATAGTTTCAACACCTAACGTAACACTTGATCTTAGTCAGGGGCCCCTACAATTATCAGTACTTTCATTAGTTTTCACAAATTTACTCCTTTAGTCACTTTCAGCATAATTATGGTCTCGCATCGCAGCCACTAGAGGTGCAACTCACGGTTCTTGTTCTTGTAGATGTTGAGGATGGGAAGGATCTGTCGGTAGTAGGGGACCATGGCCTCTCCCACCATCTCAGCCGACACCACCAGATGCTGGAGGACCTTCAGTGTGGTGCAGATGACTCGGGGGTTCCTGGTGTGGAGGGCATCTGCAGGGTGGGCAATGAGAGAAGTGGAGACTTGCCAGGATACGCGTACATTGTACTGTCGTATTACATTGGCTTTTACAGTGAAATTTACGGCTGTATATAAATAGCCAGTGAACCGGACAATGCGTAAAACCTAAACAATTCGTGCTTTGCAGCACTGAAAGATTGTTTGGAAATGGGAGTAGTAAGAGTACATTGTGAAAGAGGACAAGTAGGGAGCAGAGACTACAGCAAAACCTCCATAAAAGGGAGATCGTCCTTTCCCAAGGTTCTCACTATCAATGTGTACTATATATATAATATATACCGATATGAAAAAACAAAGGAAGGAACAGTATTGTGAGACTAATGTATTGACCAATAGACTGTAAGGAGTCTGGCAGGACTCACTCTTGATGGGGATGATGAGCTGGGGAATGACAGGCAGTATCTTGGAGCCACCGTGCTCCAGCATGTCGTGGACCCCCTGCCTGGCAAAGAACTCGTAGGGATGAGTGGTCTCACACATTCCATCAAAGAACAGGGGTAAGTAGTGATGGTAGTCCAGCTTCTCTATCTCCACCTATACACATGTACATAGAGCAGTGTAACAGGTAATGGTGGTGGTATATACATTTCCACTAGGAATAGAAATATGGAATGGCTTACATGAGGAACCTATCATATAATAACTCAACAGTTCTGGGTGTTTTAAATTTGTATACTCTAGCTACTGTATGCAGGTGAGAATCTAGCAATACAGAGGAGACAAGTGCTTCAAATTGCATGTAAAGTACCACAGTAAATGGAAATAATACGGAAAAGTTATGCAGATGGGTGACTTTGAAGTTTACAATAGTTGGAGGGACTGACAGTTGGCTCCATACAATCCACTGCACAATGACAGTCTGAAGGAGATATCTATTGGTTTACAGAGACCGTAATAAGAGAGTGTAGGCCCCAATTTCAAATGGCAATGACCACCAGAGGAGAAGAGAAAACACAGCTTTTGTCTAAGATTTTCAGTACAATGGTGTCCAGCTACTTTCGAAACATGGCAGAAGTTTTGCTGTTTACAACGCAAGAGATTCCGTTGCATGGTGAAATTACTCTCTTCATGTGTCATGTAATACACATGCAGACAGGATTATATCATAGCTCTATATACTAACCTTCCATGCAATCTTGTTGCCCTTTGTGTCATGCTCCAGTGCAATGGGGAAGTCCCCACGATCATAGAACTTTCTGAATGAGGTGGGCTTGGCAGGTCTCTCCTTGAAGGCCCCAGCCTTTGGTGGGCTCTTCACCTGCGTGGTAGGGGATAGTCATGCTCTTGACTCAATCATTAGCCATAACTACAGATATTGTGTAGGAACATGCAACCTTTATAGTTCACTCTTCAACAGTTTGTTACATATTGGACAGTATCCTAAACTATACACAAATTAAACGTCATTTGGAGCATAGGATTCAAGCGAAAAACCTGGGATTCCTCATTACTTTTACCATAAAGTAGTAGCCTTTCATACAGTGTAAGCCATTTTCCCGGTGTAGTTTAGCTAGTGTCAACGTGTTTTACCTTAGAATTTTTCATGCCAGCCTTGATAGTGAAGCCTTCAGCCTCTACGGCGGCCATTTTAGAGCCGTTCGTACTTACACCTTGACGAGCAGAAGCACACACCACCTGCAGCAGCAAGCACACACGGAGCGCGCACCACCAAAAAAGTTATTTACGACGTCGTTGCCAAGGAAACTGTTCCAAATCAACGAAACTATCGCAGTAATTTTGAAACTTAAATGGGCCCAACTGCAACCTCTTCGAGTTTCTTGTCTCTGAGGCAGGTAGGTAACATGCATAATACAAAAGCTAAGTTTGTTACTCTTGTGTGTTTGCAAGATTCTTAGCCTAGGCAAAAAGTGATAGCAGGTCTCAGGCGGATTTTACACGGTTTATGTTCGCAGTTCATTCTACGTCGAGAGGCCCTGTGCCTCTACCGCCAGTTTCTGCGTGTGAGTCGTGATGCGGGCGGGGCCAGGGAGAGGGAGGAGATGAGGAGGTGGGTGAGAGGAGAGTTTGACAAGTGGAGACACACTACAGATGAGGTGATTAGCTTTCTTCTCTGGTTCATCAGCAGAGATTGGGGGTCAATTTTTACCCTCGGCGCATGCGCAGCGAGGGTTACGGCTAGTTGTTGTGTGTGTGTGTCTGTCTGTCTGTCAGTCAGTCAGTCAGTCTGTTCCACATCTCACTTCACGAGTGAGCCATCAATCGCTCCGCAAACAATACAACGTATTCAGCGTCATCAGGTATACATAGGTCGAAAAATATGTGGGGTTTTCTCTGAAACTGCTGTGTTCGGAGTTTCTATGTGTGTCCACAACATGCTGCATTATATATACTAGAGTATCAAGCAGTGATAATTCCTGTCTGTTCGTGTTGACTACTGTACAGTATTGGTCCTTGGATGGAGAGTATAATCGGACACCATCAACGACCCAACAGTGCTATTAATGTACAACACAGTGTTTTTTTTACCACCAGGGGACTGTCAGATTGCTGTTGACCCAAGGCAGACAGTCACTGAATGACATCAAGACAAGTATAGAGATGACAAAATAATGCTTTCTTCCCTGTCTGATGGTACTCCGACAACTGTTTATGTTGTGTATTATCAAGGTTGTTGAGCCCTGCAACCAAACTCAGTCATCAATGTCTACAACATACTTTTACTCAACGGCATATTAATTTTCCTATTCCTCGAGAACGCATGGCTCTGCCTTGCAATTCAAAACACATTCCTTTTTGCTCGAAATTAAAGTCCGTTCGCGTTCACCTTGCCGGTAGGAAATCAGCTGTAACTCCGATATACTACGTTCGATTCTGGAGTTTCAACGCGCAATGCATTTGCAGTAGCGCGTAGGTTCTATGTAATAATGCAGCCTATGTTTGCACCTGACGCATGCTTGCGAAGTTAGCTGTATGTCATAAGGAAAGTATGGCCATTCCGCTCGCAACAAAGTGCGCAATTATCAACACAGGCACCCGGATATGCTCCTTGTATATACTAACTTTGAAAGACGCGCGGCGTGCTGCGAGCAGGTTTTACTAGGGCGGCGGCAAGGTGAACGCGAACGGACTTTAGGTTCACATTTTACCACTTTCGATACAGTAACTTTGCGCATAATCCTAACAACCCTTTGAATCTGGTGATCATTTGCAAACTTCATAATGTCTACGCACAATCCCTTTTACTCATGCTCCTGGATATACAGTGCTCTGTATACCTGTGAATCTCCTCGGTGCAGTGGCACACTTTGGTGCTGTACTTGTGTACAGCTTCTTTACAAGTGATTAAAAAAGCACAAAATGCACAAACATAAAAAATGAATCTAGCAAAAGTCTTTCGCCAGCTCCGCTGCCAATATTGGCTCATCGACAGATGCTGACTTCAAGACAGTGACAATGCTCTCCCAGGTGTATGGCAGACTGGCCGATTGCTTCCACTGTTCGAGGACGGCCATGAATCGATCAAAGGATTTGACTTCGTCCCTCTCGATGGCTTTCCTGTCGCCCATGCTGATCTCCAGTTGAAAAGCTACTTCTTTCCACTTGTGGGGGAATTATTGCTGCGACGCGATTTGCCAGGTCACTGAGTTTGGGAAGTGATGTCTTTGAAAGAGCAACAGCTTCCAAGAGAAAAGAAGGAGAATTCTATCACAATTATATGTAAAGCTCATGCACTATACTACAGTGGAACCTCCGATAAGGACCCTTCCTAGATTGGGGTGACCCTTTACAAAGGACAGATGTTTCAACCTCAAGCTAATACTTTAGTGTATAATGGGACGACCTCTCTATAATTATACAAGGGGAAAATCTTTGGCCCCATAGCTTGGGGTTCCACTGTGCATGACGTAAGTACTCATCAGTTCCACTGAGCCACAATGTCTGGTCAGGAGTGAGATAGTCGAATACTCCACTGTTGGCAGAGCATATCCACTGCTTCCCATTACTGGATAGGTGTGCAACGTGCAGTTCAGTGCTGCAAGAGGCGTCCTGTCTGGGACAGAGGAAAGCAGAAGTTGGGTGGGTGTCTTTGTGGTGGGTATTCTCCAGGGCTGCCTTGACTGCAGCAAAGATCTCGGTCTTGATGGCCTGGCAATGCTGAGCTAAATCCTCTCGCTCCATCTTGCTGGTGTCTATGTTAACACACACTGCAAACGAAGAAAAGTTATCGACGAGTGTCACTGAACCAGGCCTGCCAACTTCGGTGAATTCAATACAGTTGCGAGAAATTGAGTGGTGCTGTGCGGGTGATGCGTTTGAACTCCTGCTGCGTGGCTTGATGGGCGGTTTCTTCACCACTTTCCAGCCAGAGTGGGACTGAAGGTGGCACACACTGCAGCAGTAGACACCGGGAGGAGCCCAGCCGGTGGGGAACTCCACCACCAGAGGAGCTATCTTGGTGGTTCTGGATGACATGAGGCACGCTTTAATCTTGGTTTCAGTGGTCATGCTGAGAATCGCCGGAAAGAAGTACTCATTCACGGACAATTTGGAGACGACAAAGAGGTTTTGGAGCAATGTAAGAAAATCTGCAGGTGTAAAAATCCCATCGACGTAGTGGTCCTTGAATTCATTAAGACATTCGAGAGCGAGGATTCCACAGTCGCGGAAGTTTTTCCACTGACCGCTCATTGCCACACAAGCAGCTTTTGTCGGATCGGCCTCTGCAGCTTTCAGGTGGTACTGCTTCTCCACGAGCCTTGAGAGTTTGTCCACGGGGACTTGCGGATTGGTGAACACGACTCTGGGAAGAACGTTCTTCTTGTAGAGGAAAATGTTGAGCTTGTCAAAGAAGGCCAGTGCAGCATCCAGTTCTCCCTCCACGAACCCCAGCGTGTCTGAAATGTGGACGCACTCGTCTTTGCTCAGAACGTCTCTCCCGAGCTTGTGAGCTAGTGCTTCCAGGATCATCTGGAGGATGAACCACCATATCGGAATCTTGTGTTGCGTGGCTCCCTGTTCAATGCTGGCTCTGATTTTACGTGCCTCTTTCTCGTCGTCTTCGTCTGGAGCTTTTGTGTTGACCGGGAAAACTATCTCCTGCATGCCATCATTTCTGAAAACGACATCTTTCTCAAAGTGAGGCGACGCTATTGCAGCAAACTTCTTGTTCTTTTCTTCCAGTGTCTCTTCGCAATCATCGGCTAAATCCCTGTGCGTTCCGACGGCAATGATCTTGGAGGACTTTCCTTCCCCTTCGTGCAGGCCTCGAAGCATAGTCTTGAAGGCTTCGGCAGTAGTGAGTGTGGCTCGCTGGCTGGGACCAACCTGTTTCCCTCTCTGGTAGAGGTCGTTGCGTGGGTGCTCGTCAAGCTTCTCACAGAGCCGGAGGACAAAGAGGGTGGCTGACGTGTCAGATGCGAATATCGGGATGAGGTCCCAGAACGGTTGCTGGCCACCTGTGTCGGTTAGGTAGATCAACTCCATGTCCTGGAGAC